TATATATATATATATATATATATATATATATATATATATATATATATATACAACTGTCATGAACTTAGCTGGTTTTACCTAAGTCGTGCGGCACCTTTGTGTGTCCGTCCGCAAAGGCCAACCTCCCCGAAACCTCCTATGGTCCCTCAGGACGTATAAAAGGGAAAACGGGTTAGAGAAAGCGCCTCACTCGGGATCCACAAGCAATCATTTTAGTAAACACTTCATAACCAATGCAAATTACAAACAGACTTTACAAGCTCTGAACGGTCGCACAACAAAGGGTTCAAATAGTCCACTACAAACCGAAAGAAAATGAGGCTGCTAAGCCCACTGCCAGCCCTTTACATGCTGTGCAAAGCATGAAAAAACCAAAAGACACGAACATACATAAGCATTACGTCGAACACCCCATTTACAATTTTGTCCGTGACATTCTCCCCCACTTATTCCTTCGACATTCTCGTCGAAGCCTTTGCCGACGTTGCAACTCCTTGTCTTTGCTGAGTCTTCAATCTTCTGCTCCAGCTGCAATGCGCCTCTTGGCTCCCAATTGCTCTCCACTGTTGTTGTTGAGTAGTCGAACTTTTAATCCGCCATGCTGCTTCAACTCGCCAATGACTCTTGACTCTACTGTGGGGTTGACTGAGTTATGTTGATCCTTGTTAGTTCCTGCGGATCCTTCAGATAAAGGAAAAAACCATCCTTAGTATGCGTCAGTCCCTTAAATGCCTCATGTCGCTTGAATTGGATGGATGTCTGTTGGAGCTTTAACGAGCATCGCCTCGCAAACTTTTGAAGTTTTTTGGGTCCTTCCTCCACAAAATTTGCCCATCGACTCTTCATTCACTTAGTTGTCACCAAGGATTGAAATATCATACCGTACCGGAGTTTCGATATTCGCTCGGTACAGTACAATACTATATACCGAGCAGTATACCGTTCAGTATATATATATATATAAGTAAAAAAAATATTATATATTTATATATAAAAGTAAAAAAGAATTTTTTGGCAACGTTGCCGAGGCGACGCGACGTCGCCTTTACCCGCCTGGGGAGAAAGAGGCGACGTCGCATATTTATATAATATATATTATAATAAATATATTATATATAATATATATAATACCGCTCGGTACAGGCGGTATTATTCAAAATTGTAATCCTTGGTTGTCACTTCCAAGTAGGTTCGCATCACTTCCGCTTTCGATTGGCATTCTGTTGAGAAATGAAGCGGATAATCTACTCTCAATAGCATTGATCACCATTGGTGAGGATTTGACAACTATTATCTTCGATTTGGTTTCTTCGAAAGGACTTTGAACATGTGCAAAGCTCCTTTGCTTGATAGATAAGAGACTT